AGAACCTTGGTCTTTCTGAGATGTAGTTTTGTCATCTGTAAAATGGGGGCATTAATCCTCACCTAAATCACAGTGTCGTCTTGAGGATCAATGAAAGGATGACGTGAGAGAGCTTTGTAAATGCAAAAGGCCATTAATGTGGGTTCTTGTGGGGGGTTCAGTGGTCAGAGAGGGTCATGGAGGTCAAGCCCATGACAGCTCCTGCCTTAAGGGGGTGGCAGCACCCACAAGGCCCTCCCCTGCACTGGGGAGACTGAGGGCAGGAGCATGAGGCCTGATGTGGATGTGGTAAATTTCCAGCATCAGGATGACTAAACCCCAGAGATTAGCAGCTTTCATTTGAAATCAGAGTCAGAGAAGGCTGGGCCCCCAGTGTGTGTGTGTGTGTGTGTGTGTGTGTGTGAGTGTGAGTGTGTGTGTGTCCTCGCAACCTTGACAAAAGGTGATGGAAGTGCTGGAGAGCTGTTGTTCCAGCATCAAGGCTCCTGCCTGGCTGGACAAGAGAAAGGGACCGAGTCCACTACAGACTGGGCTTTTCAGGGACCACTCGAGAAACTGAGTCACTCAGCTGTCTAACCTGAACCCAGCCTTGGGACTGAGAGGGGGCATCGGCTTCACACCACTAGGTGGTGATAGTGAGTGGAGCCCTGAGGGAGGGAACTTGGCACTTTCAGTGTGGACAGCTGCTCTTGCTTCTGGCAACGCATCTACCCTGAATGACCCCTGCCAGGCCCAGGCTTTCTGAGATAAGTTGTGGGGAGGCTGTTGGGCTTGGGGTGCAATGCTGGGCCTGCAGAAAGAGCTAAATGACCTAATTGTGGGAGTGGGAGGGCCTGAGGTGGAACAGGACTTCTTAGCTTCATCGGTATCTGTCACCTCAGAAAGATGACATGTTTAGGTTACAGCCTCCCATCTCACTAAGGTTCTAAATAAGAAATGACCATGTCATAAATAGCTCTGCTACTTCTGCCAAGCCTTTGCTGAAAACATGGACCGTCATGGGACAGTGCACAGCAAGATGGGTAGGAGCCTGTGCTTCACAGCTACTGAGCCTGGGTTCAAATCCCAGTTCTGCCACCAGTTCGCTGCCTGATCTTGGGCAAATGGGCTTCTCCAAGCCTTGGTTTGATTGGCACTTAATTGAGGATACCGTATGTATTTTGTATTGTTATGGTCTTCAGTTGTAGAAGGACTTACAGGTTAAACTTTTAGAATTTAGGGCAGGATGAGGGGGAAGGACCAGCCTTTTCTCTTCTTCAATGAGATTTCGGTAGATCAGCATTTCCCGAAGCCTGTTCTGTGAAGTACAGGGTGTGAAAGCAGGTCATGCAAACAGAGACCCTTGTGTTTGAAATTAGTTTGGGCGGGCCGGCCTGTGGCTCACTCGGGAGAGTGCGGTGCTGATAACACCAAGGCCACGGG